TAGCATGCAAGAGATATGCATGGATTATGCATGGATCAGTGCTCCAAATTCTCTAATGTTTTTCTTCTCTTTTATCAGGCCAGCAGGTGGCAATCAAGAAAATTCCCAATGCCTTTGATGTGGTGATGAATGCCAAGCGCACACTGCGTGAGCTGAAGATCCTTAAACATTTCAAGCATGACAACATAATCGCTATCAAGGACATCCTAAAACCTTCTGTGCCTTATGCTGAGTTCAAATCTGTGTAAGTGCCTCTCCTCTACATGTCCCAGAGTTCTTTTCAGAGAACAGCAAACATCTTCTGCATGTGAAAAGTTAGCATGTCAGAGAGAAGACTGTGCTTGAGCTCTCTATCCCAACTGCTAAGTTTCAACAGCAAAAGATACTAGGGAGTGCTAAAACTTCTGAAGGTCTGTGCAACATTTTTTCTGACCCTGCACATTTGAATTGGCTTCAAGAAGTTGAACAGAATCCCTCAAGGCCACTGGTTAGGGCTAATGGGAATTGCAGCCTGACACGATTTCCATCCCTGCCCTATATAGCAGCACAAGCCCTTGGGAAGTTGCATTGAGCTGTTTTCCTTCAGTGACAACAGATTTTTTAATGAGTTCATGCCCTGATTTGTGATCTAGTTCTTTGGTGATATGTCTTTTTTTGATGGAAGGGTTGACATCTTGGGTGAAGATGGGCAGGTCTTGGGTAACTTTTCAGAGTTCAGGGTGTCACTTGGATGGTCTGGTTGAGTAGTTTTGGGTACCTGTTAGAGGAGATCTTCTTAGTTCCCAAGCTGTTTCCCCCCCACCAAATACAGTATTTCCATCGCCTGCCTGACATGAGCATCATGCAGTGCTTAGTGTTAGGCCTGGGAGATCCAGGTTCAGCTACCAACTTGACAAGTCCATTGGCCAACTTTGGGCCATTGTTTGCTCTCATACAACCTAACCTACTTTATAGAATTGTTGTGGTGACAATATGAGGTGAGAAAGCCACCCTTGAGCTCCTTGGACATATGGCAGTGTATGAATACAATTGATGAATTCCTCATACCATGGCCATCCTCTTCTGTTCTTTTACTCTCCTTTCATTTCTAAAGGACTGTCTGTCAATGTCTGGCCCAAGAAGACCCATTGAGTACTATGACTGAACACTACCCTAGGTTCTCTTTTGAATATCTTGCTTGTCTTCTGTCAGGTATGTGGTGCTGGACCTGATGGAGAGCGACCTGCATCAGATCATCCATTCCTCTCAGCCTCTTACCTTGGAGCATGTCCGCTACTTTCTCTACCAGCTCTTACGGGGTCTCAAGTATATCCATTCAGCCAATGTCATCCATCGGGACCTCAAGCCTAGCAATCTGCTCATCAATGAGAACTGCGAACTTAAGATTGGGGACTTTGGCATGGCCCGGGGTCTTTGCACCAAGCCAGATGAGTACAAGTACTTCATGACAGAGTATGTGGCCACCCGCTGGTACAGGGCCCCTGAACTGATGCTCTCCCTGCATGAATACACCCAGGCTATAGACATGTGGTCAGTTGGGTGTATTTTTGCTGAGATGCTTGGGCGGAAGCAGCTCTTTCCAGGGAAGAATTACATTCACCAGTTACAGCTCATCATCACTGTCCTAGGCACCCCGCCAGCCAAAGTGGTCCACTCCATTGGGGCTGACCGGGTACGGGCCTACATCCAGAGCCTGCCATCGCGCCAACCGGTGCCGTGGGAGACCCTCTACCAGAATGCTGACCGTAAGGCCTTGTCTTTACTCTCAAAGATGCTGCGCTTTGATCCCCGTGAGCGCATATCGGTGGTGGAGGCCCTGAATCACCCCTTCCTGGCCAAGTATCATGACCCGGATGATGAGCCTGACTGTGTCCCTGCTTTTGATTTTGATTTTGACAAACAGGTGCTCACTAAGGAGCAGATCAAGGAAGCCATCGTGGGTGAAATCAATGATTTCCATGAGCGCCGGGAGGGCATCCGGCGCCAGATCAGCTTCAAGCCAGCCCTGAGGCCTGCCACTATTGGCGGGGGTTACGGGGATGATACCTCCAGCCAAACACAACTTCTCTACTGCCATGATGTGGATATGCCCAGTGCTGGTTCACCTAGATTGGGAGATGGTGACTATGCAATGGCATCTCCTGTCCCCTGCTCTCTGACGGAGACAATTGACCTCACCTCGCCCATCACAACCACAGCTGTTGTACAGCCTGAAGTGAAGGCTGAAGCAGAAGTTCCTGTAGCTCCTCCTAAGAGAGAGGGAGCCATCTCGGATGACACCAAGGCTGCCCTCAAGGCGGTTATCTTAAAATCTGCCCTCCGGAATAAGAACAAAGGTAACTTGGAATGGACTGGTGTGAGGGAGTGACACAAGGTGTCAAGTGAACTGTACAGATTAGTCAATGTATTTAAGATGGAGAGCCATTGTAGTGCAACAGTTAGAAAACTGGGATTTGGGAGATCTGGGTTCAACTCACCACTGAGCCATGACAATCACTTAAGGCAGTCATTCTTTCTTGTGTGTGTTGTGTGCCTTCCAGTCTTTTCTGACTTATGGTGACCCTGTGGTGAACCTATCATGGGGTCTTCTTGGCAGGATTTGTTCAGAGGAGGTTTGCTATTGCCTTCCCTTGAGGCTGAGAGTGTGTGACTTGCCCAAGGCCACCCAGTGGGTTTCATGGCTGAGCTGGGAATTGAACCTTGGTCTCCAGAGTCGTAGTCCAACGTTCAAATCACTAATCTTGCTGGCTCTTCATTCTTTCTTAACCTCACCTAGATCACAGGGTTGTGAAGACAAAAAAGGAAAACAGGAGAAATATACATGCAGGCATTTCTGGCAGTTGTAGTCCAAAAAAGGTAACTTTTCCGAACTCTGGTGCTGATCCTGTCTTTGGACTGCATGGTTATAGAATCTTTCCAGTGAAGCAGTCTGTATGGAGTTATTAATTGGAGAGCTTGAGATTTGTTCTAATTTAATTTGAAATAGTTTAATTTGAAATTCTTAGGCATATTTGAAGTGTAGTGAATTTTTCTTACCAGTAGTAGAAAGTTTCTGGTATTTTAATGGAAAGGTGAAATATGTGGGTGAAATCTGCTTGGTCTTCAAAATCAACAGCAAAGTTGGAACAAATAGGAAGAGAGCACATTTCTACTCTAAAGTCAGGGTTGGCACTTGTGGGGAGCTGGACGTGCACTGGCCCCTATGGGACTATGGATTGCCGCACCCACCTGCCATGCCCCTAGGGCTCATGGGATGCAACTGTGCCATGTTTTTGGATCCTTCTGGACTGGTTTAATACCAAAAGAGGCCATTATTCGAACAGGAAGTAAATTGGAACACAACTTGTGGTGTACTTCCTTCTTGAATAAAGACCTTCCCTGGACCTAACACAACCCAGAGTCCCCCACACTCATAGTGAAATTGCCTTCCTCCCATTGCCTGAGGAGGCATGCTGTTTTGGGGTTTTTTTTGGGGGGGAGGGGATGTAATTTGGGAGTGAGCCTTGGAGGCCACATGTTCAGAAATGGCCTTGGAGTCCTCACCTTCTGCCCTCCAGAATAAGAACAAAGATAAGTTGGATAAGGTGTGAAGGAGTGAGACAAAGTGTCAAGTGAACTGGACCAGTTAGTCAATATAATTTGGGTGGAGAGCAACTGTAATGCAGCATTGTATTTTTTAAAAAGCATCCCTCTTGGTTCCACAGATACACCATCCTCTGTCCCGGAGACGCCTGATATCCGAAGGCCAGTGACGGCGAAGGAGCGCCAACGAGAGCGAGAAGAGAAGCGCAAACGCCGTCAGGAAAGGGCCAAGGAGCGGGAGAAGCAGAAGAAGGAGAAAGAGCGGGAACACAAGGACATGCTTACAGAGAACGACCGGAACCTTCTGGAAAGGTGGACCAAAATGGTGGACCGTACTCAAAACAAGCCAGCCCAGAATGGATCTGCAGCTCTCCCACAGACAACCACTGCCAGCCACAACCTGCCTCAGGCCCCTTCTGGCAACCCTTTGCCACCTCAGGCTCCCCCCACCTGCCGTATTCCCCCTACTCCTTCTGGCAACACTCCTGCACCGACTGATTTTCTCACTGTCTCGGACAAGAGCGTGCCTACTGTAGGACCCAAGCTCACTATTGTTCCTGTGGGTGCAGTCCAGAGCTCCAATACCAACGTTCATTTTTTCCCAACACAGACTGCCCCGTTCCTGGTTGCCACCCCAGCTTGCCAAAAAGCCATCCCATCCAAACCAGAGTGCCTCCTAAGTGTCAAGTACACACCTGGCCAGATCTTCCAAACCCCCTATGGTGTTACGGCCTTGAATGCCTGGAGCGGCGTCCCCCAGCCTGAAAGCTGGGCTGTGGCTGGGCAGATGCCAGTGACACAGCCAGAGATGGCACCTTCTAGTGGCACGCAACTGGAACAAACAGTGAGTTTTAGGGCTTCCATGGAGCAGCCTCTGTTTCTGCCAGAGATGGGCAAGCCTGAGCTCCCGCCACCATCACAGGGGGTAGTTGAAGACACATCATCATCACCACTGACAGCAAGTGGTCCTGCCCAGCACCAGATTGCCTCAGGACTGCCTTTGGAGCCTCCAGATATCAATGTGGTGACACAGCAGCTCTCTAAATCCCAGGTAATGGCTTGTGTCGAGTTCTTTCTGTGGCCCCAGGGACTATACACCACATTACAGATGAGAAGTGGACAACTGTGCTGAGTGTGGGGACCAGTGTTTGCCTCTATACGCAACCTTGGGAAGAAGGAGGAATGCACCAGAAGGGATGTCATGCCAATTCTTTTTTGCAGTTTTTTGGGGTGTGTGTGTGTGTGTTGTGTTGGTTTTTTTGTGGAGTTTTTGTTGTTGTACGCCTTCAAGTTGTTTCTGACTTTTGGTGACCCAATCACAGGGTTTTCTTGGCAAGATTTGTTCAGAGGCTGTTTGCCATTGCCTTTTCCCAAGGCTGAGAGCATGTGACTTTCCCAAGATCACCCAGTGGGTTTTATGGCCAAGCGGGGAATTGAACTTTGGTTTCCAGAGTCATAGTCCAACACTCAAACCACTATGCTACACTGGCTGTCAAGAAGTGATATATTTTACATAAATAATTGATTAATGCCACATTTATAACAGATCTTGGGTATATAAAATTTACTTTGGGATGTGTCAGCTATTATAGAGTAAAATACCATGTTTTCAGGCAGTTTTTACCAGTTCTGTCAGTTTGGGGATGCTTGTATTTTTCAGAACATGCACAAATCATAGGGCTATGTAAGGAATCTTACATAGGGCTTAGACAATCACCAGCCTCAGAGATTTTAGAAAATTTTTGTTCTCATACTTAGCCTTGCAGTTTTAATGGCTAGAAATCTATTTAGAAACACTTCATTAATTTGTAGCATTTATGTCCTGAACTATAACTGTTAGTGGAAAAGCCGTAGGTGTGGCTTATGTATTGTGCTATCCTGCCCCATCTGCTCAGGCCCTAGGAGTAGCATAATGTCACTTCTGCTCATCCAAATGGCAAGCATGAAAGTTTTACTGTGGTCCTCTGGAGGAGGCACAAAAAATGACAGGTATAGCCACTCAGGCACTCAAGTGTGCTCACCTGTACTTTAAATCATGAGTAGGCATCTGTAGTCTGAGAACCAGCATGGTGTAGTGCTTTGAGCATTGGACTACTACTATGGATATCAGAGTTTGATTCCACACTTAGCCATGGAAACCCATTAGGTGACCTTGGACGAGTCACACACTCAGCCCCAGAAAACCCCATGATAGAGGTTCATCTTAGGCTCTCCATAAGCCGGAAACAACTTGAAGCCAGACAACATCATCTGTGGTCTTCCAGAAGTTTTTTGGGTACAACTCCTATAATCCTTTGCCATTGGCTTCATAGGTTAGGGCTGATGGGAATTGTAGGTAAGAGGAAAAAGCTTGGGGGATTCCCCCCCCCCCCAGTGTAACTACTGTATTGACATTAGAGCTGTTCATAGCTCCGATCTAGATGCTATTAATCACGATCAAATCCTGAATGAAATAAATAGAATTCAGCTAGTCTCAACTAACTTGTCCCATTGATTTCAATCGATTGCAACGACATCTTTTCCTTCTACACCAACTGTTTTGATGCCAGTGCTGTTACCCATGGCATTTTTTCTCTGGAGTTTCTTAAATGGCCCAGACTTCCATGATGCAAAGGTCTGTCTCACTTGGCAGGAGAGGGTGGGTCAAATCCTGCAGTGCCTCCCTACTCCTTGGCTAGTCTTTGATGGCATTATCATGTGCTGATCTTTGCATAAGGAATGACTTCACTGTTTCTTAATTGCAGGTGGAAGATCTCCTGCCCCCTGTCTTCTCTGGCACCCCAAAAGGCAGCGGTGCTGGCTATGGGGTTGGGTTTGACTTGGAAGAATTTCTGAACCAGTCTTTCGATATGGTGGGGGAGAACAGAGAGAGGTAAGAGGCCTATCTGACTGGGCTTTGAAGGTGGAACAAGGAGCTAGTGGGTGGAACATGTGCATGGATTCATGAGCGATCACTTTTACTTGGGATTAGCAGGTTTACAGTACCAGGGTGTGGACAGTGGCATTGTGGGCCTGTGGAGAGATCACAACTTTTTTTTATGGCTGCTGTTGGCTTAGCTGACACAAAAGCCTTGGGCTTCGTAGCTGAGAACTAACGGGGTGGACCTGAACAGTGTAATCTGAAGATCCACAGAAGATAGTCTGTTCCAATTAGATCATAAATATTTTTCCTGAGCTTTTTTGGGCTCTAGAGTGAAATATTGGTGCAAACAGGTCACTTAAGAGTGACAGAAAGGCAGTACTGGCAACTTATATAGACTCGATGATCCTGCAACAGCTAAAGCAGCAACTTTGGTCTAAGAATTAGAATTTTGTAATTCCCTTTTCTCTGTATGACTTGGTTTGATTTTTTTTAGGATTTTGGAATATTTGCATATACATAATGAGATACCTTGGAGATGTGGCCTGAGTCTAAACATGAAATTCATTCATGTTTTGTATACACCTTGTACATAGAGCCTGAAGACAAATTTCTACACAATATTTTAAATAATTTTTGGTGAAAGTTTGCGAGCAGTGAACCATTAAAAAACAAAGGTATCACTATCTTAGCCACCCATGTGGACAGCTTTGGGTTCTGAAATTTCAGATTTCGGAACTCTGGGAACTCAACCTGTATGTGTGTTTGTGTTTTTTTAAAATAGAACTGAATTTTTTTTAAAAAAACATGTTTGTATAGTACTTTTTTTAAAAAACTGAACTGTTAGTTTAAATTTTGTAAGCTGCCTTGGGCCCTGTGGCAGGATGAATGAATGAATGAAAAAAAAATTGAACAGAGAATGGAAAAGGAGGAAACTAATGAACATCCCATATTTTGCTTTGTCTTATAATTCTTTTCTTGATCTCTCTCCCCTGCAACTGGATTAGCCAAGGTGATTCTGCCCCACTTTCAGCCTCCCTTCTCGCTGACTGGTTGGAAGTCCATCGCATGAACCCAGCTGACATGGAGTCTCTCCAGCAAGAACTCCAGCTGGGCTCTCCTATGATCCTCTCTGACATTCCGGACCTCCAGGATGCATGAAAATCTGGACTCCTCCGTGCCATTTTCTTCTTCCTTTTCAAAGATCTTTGGCTGGATGTGTGGAAGAAAAAACAAATCCAGCAAGGGCTGAGCCAACTTGGGATGTTCACAACTGGTCTGTTTGCCTTCCCAACTACTCCGGCTGGGAATTGTTACCGCAGTGCCTGCGTCTTTTGTTTGGAAGCAAAGGCAGAACTTGGCTGGTATTCAGACGAGAGACCTTTCCCAGAAATGTTTGACATGGTGGTTTTAACACCTGTGTCACTTTGTGTTGGTTGTGTTGTGGCAAGCAGGAATGAAAGCTGTCCCAAGAAGTGACTGCAGTAACAACACTAAGGGTGTGTGCGCGTGTCCATGTGT